GCTTTCTGGTTCCCCTATCATTGGAAAGCTGTAAGGACCACTCAAAAAGTCTAAGAAGTAGTATGTTTACAATCTATGTCTCAACAAATGTCCTAAAGGGCTAGTTAAATACTCTTAACCTTAATTTTAGTTGAAGCTTGCAAAGCCCGTATTTCATGACACACACTTCCTGCTCTTATTAACTGATGGAAAGTGAATGGAACTGTCCTTAGGGAAGTGTTTAGTTCAGACTTTACCACCCTGCAAATAAAACTGCTGGCCTGGTTCCCATCCATAACTTTGTTATTCTCAGACCAGAGATCAGAAAATGCTTCCACTCACCTTAGCGATGATCACTTAAGCCCTATTGTGTGTCAGACATGATACAATGTCCTAGGCATACAAAGGTGAATAATGCAGATCAATATGGGAAGTCCTATGCTAAGAATACATAAAATAGTGTCTAACTATGTCTGGAGAAGAGGGGGAAGGAGGAAGGTTGGGAAAGCAATGCTATAGTTGAGTCTTAAATGATGGACAGGGAGATTTAGCAGGCAATAATGCAGGGCAGAGCATGCCAGGCATGTAGTAAATGCCCAGATAGATCAATAACAATGGCAGTGGCAGTCCCTCCTGGAAGCAAATGAAATAGTGCAAGGCAAAACAAAGAAGTGAGGGTAAAAAAATCTTAATAAAGGCCCAGTGGTGTGCCAAGTATTGAGCTAACATTTTTCCTAGAGGGTTCAGAGGAAGATTCAAGAAGATAGCATTTGTTCTGGTCTTAATGGTAGAGTAAAACTGACATGTAGAGAAGGAAAATGAAGTTATACTAGTTGATAAAGCTGCAAAAGGCAGTTTTATATAAACATGAAAGTGCATGACTGCCTTCTCTTTTCTATTTATGTTCTCACTCTACAGATGTTGTCTAGTCCCTTGGCATCATACCATTTTAAGAGAATGTCTCCTTAATTTAGATCTCCAGTCCTGAATTCTCCTGAGCCATCCATCTGTGTACCTCCAGATGTTTATGTGGAATTTCTACTTAAATGTCATACAGTCGTGTCAACTGTTTAATGTTTAATAGTGAGCCCCTGACTTTCTTTTCTGAACCTGTTATTCTTCTAATTTCCTATCTCAGTTATTGGTACCATCATCTAGCCAGTTGCTCTACCAAAACCCTTGGAATTATCCTTGATTCTTTTTAACTTCAACTACCATATCTAATCCTTCAATGAGCACTTTGACTCTACTCAAAAGCACATTTTAGATTTGAATTCTTAAGTTCCTGAATCCCAGTGATTATTTTTGCTTTATTCTGTTTGGTCTCTCATTTCTCCTTTGCTCCTTTACTGTCCATTCTTCACTCAATAGCTCAAGCTATCTTTTAAAAATTTAAGTCACATCATATCACTCTTTGCTTTAAACTCTTCTATGTCTTTTTTAAGAACTAAATCTTTGCCTAATCGTCTAGCTACCATCTAGCTTACCAAACTCACCTCCAGTCTAAATTCAAACCACCTGTTCCAGCTGCACTGGTTTCTTCCCAATTCTGAACAAGTGCAAAGTCATTCTCACTCAATGCTATTGCACCCAAAAGTCACACTTCCTTCAGTGGTCTCCTTCATCTCTTTTCATTGTTTCCTTACCCTCATCTTCCAAATTTTAATCCAAACGTCATTTAAAACTATGCTTTCTAACAGTTCTTCCCAGATTTTTCTAAATTATCACCATATTGATTTCCTTCCTAGAATTTAACATAATATTCTTTTCATTCATTTACTTGTTATCTCTCTTTCCAGAAACTCTCAGAACCTTGAAGCCAAGGCTTTATTTCTTTTTAAGCATCATATCCCAAGTACATAGCACAGTATCTGGCTTAAAGTAGATGCTCAATGAGTATTTTTTTAATAAATGAATGCCAAAGTCACTAGTTTCTTAAGACTATAAGTAAGTGTTCGTAGAATCAAATTCAGAGACTCTAAAAAAAAATAAGACACTACATAAAATGAATTTGGTTTGATCATTGGGAAGTCACTGGTAGAAGTAGTCAATTGGAGTGGAGGCAGAGGTAGGAACATCATGGGTGAGGACTAAAACAGGAGATGTTGGAGGAGAGTATCCTTGACTGAAAGGGGACAATGAAGGGTGTGGTGCTACAGTCTTGGGGTGTGTAATGAAAGTACTTTACAATTTTGGTTAATGAATAAGATTTGTTTAGATTTTCATGTGAGAAAGAAGCAGCAATGACCAAGAGTTTGAAATTACAAGGCAAGAAAGGGTAGGTGATGGAGGAAGATTATAGAGATGGAATTGGAGAATAGGATATAGAGCCCAGGTGGAAAGAAGGAAGGACATCACTTCCTCTGAGGAGTAGGACATCAAGGAAATGATATTTTAGGATCTCCATTTCTTCTGATAAAAGCAAAGAAATAGAGGCAGGTGTGGGACTTAACATAGTGAACAGCCTTTCAAATGATACCATGAGCAGCTGAGAAGCACTGGCCAGGAGTTCATAAAAGGAATGATGATTGTCAATAAAGTTTCAACTGAAGCCATCAATTTGGTACTAGTTTATAAAGCCGTGTAATTCTTTCATCAATCACATGTTTATTAGGTATATTCTATCTCCTAGACACTTTAGTTGTTGCTGGAAGTGTGGAGGATAATAAATCACAGTTTCTGCAGTCTACCGGGACAGAGGAACAAGTATACTAATTAGCAAAGCCTTGTGGCGAGGCTTATACCAGAGGAATAAAATTATACAAGCAGAACACAGAGGATGATGGGGAAGGGGTCGTAGGTCTGGTTGTAAGATAAATAGCTATAATTGAAGCTCTTGGAATTGGAGCCATTCTCCATGATAGTAGAATCCTGGAGGGGGAGGTGGCTCACTGGAATGGAGGAAGTCATGTGTCTGTGAGTTAGCAGGTCAGAGGGGCTTCAGATGTAAGTCCACTAGGAAGGTAGAAGGAGTTCTTCTAGACAAGACCCGTGTGGCTGTGGCTCACGTATCTGAATTCTCAATGAATATGTGAGAGTGACCTGGAAGTCCACACATACCGGTGATAAGGCTAGGGAGAGGGTAATACAGCCAGATGGTGTAAACATCAAAGGAAGAAAGCACTGTATCTGAGAGGGACAGCATCGTGGTCTCAAAGTAGCCATTAACAAGACGGAAAATGCTCAAACCATTCCCCAGCCTCCTGGCAAACAAGGCATCGTAAGAAAAGCGTCCTTCACTCAGGAGAATTTCAGTCAAGACAGGAGGGAGGGAGGGAGTGAGTGAGGGGGAGAGAGAGAATGATTTGCTAGCTATAGCAAAGGCTGAGGATACCAGAGTCAAGGATGGAAATAGTTGGTTCTGAGACTCCAAAAAGCCTCAAGTGTGACACATTTCCAGAGCCTGCACAGGCCACTGAACCAGATGGTGTCAGTGATCTGAAGATACCAGCAACCTGGGATTGGTCCACTTCTTGTCAAGGGATTGTAGGCAGAAGGACCACTGACTTCCCCTCAAGGTCAATGCTGGGAGTAAACAATACTGTCAATGGTCAGAACCCAGAGAAAAATGCCCTGTAATCCAATATCTGTTCTTTTGAAGTATCTTTTTTCTCTCTGATTACGAAAGAAATATATATTCACTGCACAAAATAAGTAACACAGAAAAGTATGAAGAATAAAATAAAGATCAGTTATAAACCCAGAGGGAGGTAATATAATGGTTGTTAACATTTCCATATCTGGCACTAATAGAATGCTGAGGCATTTATCAGTTAGGACTCTGAAATATGTCAGTGTTCCTTTTTCTCCCTTTCCTACCCTCTCTTTCACCTTCCATCTTTGGTGCCCCTACCTTTCTAGCTTCATCCCTGTTCTCCCCAAATTCAGATTTCGACCATGCCTGGTGGAGAATCACTTCACCTTGGAGCCACCCAGTTACGCATTAAGCATTGAGCGGATGTTGCCGTTGTGGCTGCTGGCCTTGCAGGCCTGCGGCAGAGTTGCTATGGCTGTGGCCGTGGCACTTGGGATGCCTCCTCTTGTTCTCCCAGGGTTCAGAGACCACGTTGCTGGGCAAGTCCGAAAACCACTTAACTTTTCATATTCATTTTTCAAAAAAGAAAAATGCCACCTTGGGGATGAGGCTAACCCAACCTTTACGAAAGGCGCTCTGCTGGTAGTAACTCACTACCATTCACCATTAAGGTACTGTTTTTTACGAGCAAGATTCGGTCTCTTGACCCAGACACAGCATGGCAGGCCAGTCATTGAATGGTCCTCTGTCATTAAACACAAACTTCAGTTGCCTCATCACTAGGGGAATGATGGTTTCAGCCCCCTGAAAATAGCTTATGTGTGCTTCAGGTTTTCTCTTGCTGCCTCCATTCCCAGGAAAGGGAAGTAAAACATGCCTAGTCAGACAGTGCTTTCACTTTTTTGAGCTTGATAAATTTGTCCTTCATTTTACCACCTAAGTCAGAATTACTATTTATCATAACCCTGCTAATTTTTTCTTTTCCTCCTTCCTCCCACCTATCTCCTGCCACATCCCCAGAAGCATAAAGCTTTCAATATCCTGCTGTCCATTAGCATAAATAAACTCATGCTTTTAAAGTAAAAATAGATTTAATGCTATATTTGTTAAAGACTACATTACCATAAGAGGATAAAAATATTCTTGAGTAACAGGTAGATCATATACTTTAGAGACAATAATATGCTTTTATTGTGGTTCCCTGAAAGTCAATTGTTTAGCCATAGATTAAAACTTTAGGTCTTGAGCACATGTTACATTTTCACTTTAGAAACTGTTAAACCATGCAGTTTCTCAGGACTTGTACTTTCATGTTTTAACTTATTTTTTCTGTTGTCAATGTTTTGCAGGCAGACCAAAAAAACATGAAGGGCCATTTAAATTCAGTATTTGCTATATGAGCTAATGGATAATGTTGTTATAACTTTGTTCCTTGCTTTTATATTTCAGTTGTTAATTTAAATTTTATGTGATATTTATACATTAGATAAGAAAATACTGGGCTGATAAAGAACAGAAATGGCAGGAAATGGAAATGAGAGATCTTCGCCGTCTGGAAGAACTGAAGAAATTAATGGCTGAACAGTCAGTAAAAGACAGAGAAAGGTAAAAAGAAAAAAAAAAGTAAATTGTGTGGTAATAGAAGTCTTCTGTAATGTGTTATGTGAATGGAGTCTTCCATAATGTGTTAGGATAAATAATATCAGAGGGAGCATTTTTCTGTACTTAATATGTCCTTACAATATTTATATTCACAAATTGAAAAATGATACTTATATTTTAAACTTTCATATTCATACACAAATCTCTAGTTTTCCATTTTGTCCTTAGATAGCTTCCTAGTTAAAATCATCGCAGAGAATTTCGTAGTATTTGATTGCCCACTGTGTGTGTGAAATAATACTGGCTGCTGCAGTGACTTAATATTTTGACCTAGAAGGAAGAAACCATTATTCAGAGGAAAAGGGAGACCCATTGACTATGACTGAGGCTGAGAAAGACAATACACAATCATACTGTGCTATGTGGTATTCCTTTTATTATACTTAAGAGGTATTTGATATAGGAAAAACCTTGAATTCCCCAGAATAATGTAACTTTAGAGCTAGAAAGGACATCTGAGATCCAGTTTTCTTGTTTTATGAGGATTTTATGCACTGAAAAATTAAAATTACTTTTCCCTAGTTTAATGTATCAATTAAGGTCAGTAAAGGGGCAGAGACAACATAGTATTTTGAATCAGGGAAGTTTAAGATAAAAAATTATTAATTCTAATAAAAAAAAGTCTCAGTTACGTAAAAGGATATAGAGAAGTTTAAAGAATGTTGCAGGGCTGGAGGAGGGTTCTCATGGAAGAAACAAATTTGGAAGTGTGGCCCCTCCTGTCCGCAGCTGGGATTCAGACCTCACTGTAGAAGGTGTGGTTGTGGGCTCATCCAGAAGCTGTTCGCAGTCACTGGGCAAGCAGGAATACCCTATCTGGGTGCAGGATGCCAAAACTGGAAGTCAAGCATTGTGATTCCAAGACTTGATGGGAATCCGACCATGAGAGTACTTCTGAAATTTGATGGGAACCTGCCCACAGGGTGCAACTGAGCTCCATAGCACCTCTGAGTGTACCCACAAGTGCTGCTGGCAGCTGTGAAGCAGGAGCAAGGAGGAGGAGTAAACCAAGAAACTAGGAAAGAAAGCCCTTCCTTCTTCAGCACCCCTCCAGCATCCTTTTCCATCATGGCCGAGCACTGTGCCAGCTGCAAAGCAGAAATGTTACAAGGTCCATCTCTATTTTCATAGAGCAGACAATGAAGGGTAGATTTGGAGCTGAGAGACAATAAATTGGTAACTGGCATAGTTATATAGTTTAGCCAGCTCCTGAGTGGATTTTCACAAAAGATAAATTAAAAAATAGGTCTTTCATTTTGTAACATAAATCATAATAAAGTTTTCTTTACAGTTAGTCAATGTAAAAAAATTTGCCTGGAACTCTTCATACTTTCTGCTCAATTTCATTGTGAACTTAAAACTGCTCTAAAAATGAAGTCTACTACAGTACTAAAAATTACATTTTAGACTTATTGTAACTTAAGATGACATAACCATCTTACACAACAAAGTTCAGTTATATCTAGGAAGCTTGCTTTGTGACCCATGGAAATAATTTCAAATTCCAGTCATCAAGTTGCAGAGTGAATCTGGGGTTCCACACAGATGCTAGGCAATTCCCCCCAATTTTCTGAATAAAATTCACTTGATTTTCCAGGTATCTCAGGATTTATAATTGAGTTTAATCTATTATGAAGAAAATCAAGAATATAGCAAAGCTAGGGCTCAAGGCTAAGTGATGAAACAACCAGTGAGAAATCAGTTAAGCACAAACCAAGATATAAGAGGATACCAGAAGGCAGGCCACGCCATGGGTCAGAGGCAGAAACAAGCAGTTCAATATTAAAGGCAAGGCAAATGTGGAGATCAAAAGGCTGGTTGGATAGTCTGAAACTAAGCTAGAGGAACAAAAGAGAGCCCCAGGAATTAAAGGGGGTGGGGAAAAAGGAACAGCTGTAAAGTCCCCGCATCTAGGACTCATGATTCTAGTAGAATCTGCCCTCATAGCCTAGGAGTTGCTTTGATTACAGAGCCATTTCAGCCTTGTGCTTCTTGTCCCAATAATTATCAAGATAAGCTGATTCAGAACTTTAGTTGAAAAGAAGAAAAGGAAAATTAAATGGGCCTGTCTTACATAACAGAAAAGAAAACTAGGTGTCATATTATAACATAGTGAATATAGTACCAAAGACTAGGAACCAGGAGACCAGGGTTTTAGTATCTTATTTGAATGGTGTACGACCTAGGGAAAGTTATTAATTTAACCTCTATTAGGCTCTGTTTTGTTTTCTGTGAAAAAACTGAATTGGATAACTTTGGAGGGCTAAGTGAGCTATCAGCTTTTAAGAGTTTATGATCTGTGTGTTTTACTTATCTGAAATGTAGATTCAGATAATAATGAATCCAATCCTTCTATGCCAATGGAAAGTCAGTGAGGAGGGCTGTTAAAATATCCAGATAATGTATCAGAACATAATTCTCAGAAAATTTTGGATGATATTGTAGAGAAAAGCACAGTCCTCATTTTGTGATTTAGAGAGAGAGAATCTAACATGTAAAAACAGCTGATAACTTTTGCTTCTGACAAGAACTAGAAATTGTGTTCTTTTGCAACCATCCTGATGCTGAGAATGTGGTTGATTGGTTAAAATGTTTTTCTCCACTACTGAAATGCGATTCACAAATCTCATATTTGATATTTTAACTGTAGGCACATTTTTCTCATGTCAGAATAAGAAGGCTTGAAGCAGTTTCCGGATCTGTTAAAAACACACATACACATAGCCTTGAGAGTTTGAAAACTTCTGTTATTTAATTTTTCTATTTTCTAACTCTAATATTAAATTTCTTGAAAATAGTACTCATAAATTAACACATATATTAGGTTAAACCATAAGAAAATTACATTTTTATAGGTCAAACAATGGTTAAGTATTGGCAGTTTTATGCAGTTCAGCATAATAAAGAGATATAGCAATTTATTTACTAATTACATTTCCTGTCTCAATCTGTTATGAGCTGTCTTGTGCCCTCATCACTTTATTGACATTGTTCTTGCCATAGTTTCCACTAACCTCCTAATGCCCTATTTTTATTTCTCAACAATGTCAAAGAAGTGGAGAGGGAAGGCTCTAGAATCAGGTTATCAACATAAGAATCCTGTCTCTATCCTTTATAGCTGTGTGACATTTGGGTAAATTATTTCACATTTCTGTCAGTTTCTTCACCTATATAATGAAAAAATAAATAGTATCTTCTTCATGGGATTGTTGCAAGGAATAAATGAGATATTAAATGGAATGCACACAGTGATCATTCATTAGATATAAAGATTACTGTCAATTGATGTTTTAAAACATGAGACACTAACGTAATTTGTTCTCAAAATATGTAAACATTTTAAATGTTTTAAATAAAAGGTGTAATAATGGGGACACTTTTAAAAACTGAAATATAGTTGATTCACAATGTTGTAGCAATCTCTGCTATACAGCAAAGTGACTTAGCTTTAAATTTTTATGCATTCTTTCTTTAAAAGATTATTTTCCATTGTGTTTATCCCAGGAGATTGTATATAGTTCCCTGTGCAATATACTAAGACCTTGCTGTTTGTCCATTTTAAATGTAATAGCTTACATCTACCAACCCCAAATTCCTAGTCCATCACTCTCCACCCTCCTGCCCCAACTTGGAAACCACAAGTCTGATCTCTATGTCTGTGAGTCTGATTCTGTTTCATTTCATTTGTATCATATTTTAGATTCCACATATAAGTGATATCATATGGTGTTTATCTTTCTCCTGGCTTACCTCACTTAGTATAATAATCTCTAGTGTCATCCATGTTGCTGCAAATGGCATTATTTCACTCTTTTTATGTCTGAATAATATTCCATTGTATATATGTACCACATCTTCTTTATCCATTCATCTGTCAATGAACATTTAGGTTGTTTCCGTATTTTGGCTATTATGAATAGTGCCACTATGAATACAGGAGTGTGTGCATCTTTTTGAATTATAGTTTTGTCTGGGCATATTCCCAGAAGCAGGATTGTTAGATCATATGGTAATTCTATTTCTAGTTTTCTGAGGACTCTCTGGGTGGCTCAGTGGTAAAGAATCTTCTTACCAATGCAGAAGATATAGGTTGGAGCTCTGGGTTGGGAAGACCCCAGAGAAGGAAATGGAAACAGAGTCCAGTATTCTTGCCTGGAAAATCTCATGGGCAGAGAAACCTGGTGGGCTACAGTCCATGGGGTCACAGAGAATCAGACACAACTTAGTGACTGAGCATGCTTGTGTGGGGAACCTCCATACTGTTTCCCACAGTAGCTGTACCAACTTACATTCCCACCAGTGGCATAGGAGGATTTCCTTTTCTCCACATCCTCTCCAGCATTTTCTATTTGTAGACTTTTTAATGATGGCCATTCTGACCATTTGAGGAAGTGCTATACCCCACTGTATTTGCATTTCTCTAATAATTAGTGATATTGAGCATCTTGTCATGTATCTACTACTATCTGTCTGTCTTCTTCGGAGAAATGTCTATTGAGGTCTTCTGCCTATTTTCCAGCCAGGTGGGTTTGTTTATTGTTGAGTTGTATGAGCTATTTGTGTATTTTGGGAGACCCTCATGCAATCTCTCCAGTGGAAGCCTTCTCTGATATCAGCTGTTTAATACATACATAAAAATTACATATGCCTAAGTAAAATATGACTTTAAGAGAAACAAAGACCCAATACATTTTACGTTATGGTAACATTGTATTTGTTTCAGCTGCCATAACAAAATACCATAGACTGATGGTTTAAACAACAGAGATTTATTTTCTCACAGTTCTGGAGGCTACAAGCCCCAAGATCAAGGTACCAGCACTGTTGACTTCTGGTAAGAACCCTCTTCCCAGCTTATAGACACTTGCTTTATACTCAGAGGGTGGGAAGAGAAAGATAGCAAATTCTCTGATGTTTCTTCTTAAAGGGCACTAATTCCATCA